CCAAGAGTGTTGACAGTGGAGCCGAGCAAACTGAAGCTATGAACAATCTCAATCTCTTCACCATCCATCCTGATGCTCCCATCCATAGCTGACCCTCTAGTGAGTTTTCCGAGGCATTTAACCACATGGGAGGAGATTGCCCATCCTTTTCCCATGGAGCAGCTGGTGAATTTGAAACATGTGCCTTTGGGATTGTAGCAAAGCTTCTTGTCACGAGGTCACCAAAGTTCCAGTCTAAGACTACTAAGGTCTATAAAGCCTCAGATTTATCACACAGAAGCCTCATCAGAGGAGGACAAGAATTTGAGACTCTGACCTACACTGGGGCATTTGGTGACTGCTGTGGCTTGTGCAAGATTGTTGATGCATTCAGACCGTGCCCAAGGTGAAAGTTATGGATCAAATGTTCCTCAAAAATGTAATTGTATAGTCAAATCATCATGCAGTGTACAATCTCCATGGCTTCACGGGGATATAAATCACAAAATATGATTTTCGTTAGCAAAATTTACAACTCTTGGCTAGTACGAGAAGAATAAATAGCAAATAAAAGCATTGAAAGGATTTAATAAAGTATGTATCTTATAACTGTTTGGGGCAGACAATAGTATTTGTAGCTTAAGGACAGTGGATAACAGTGAAGGATTTAGCTTTAGAATGCTAAGTTATGTAGCCGACTGCATACCTTCTGGCTGAAGAAAAACTTCCTGCTGCTGGCTAACTGCTGCCAGGTGTGTCTGCAGAGGTTCATAATTCTCTGAAGATATTTTAATCACGCTGCTTATGGGAATGCCAAGCTCAGTCATAATCGCTAATAGTTGAGGATTGTTGAGGCCTACAACTATAATGTAATGCTGGGCACCATCATCTGGCTCATCGTCTGTTCAAAATGCCATAAAGAAGAACAACCATTATTTAAAAGAACAGGTTACACTCCGCCAGTTCAATGGCTATATACATTATGCATGCATTTATAATCCTCTGACTTGCCAAACCCCACCCAGTTGGCTAGAATGCAGTCATATTGACTGCTTTTCATTATAGCCCTTCCAGTAAGGAGGCTGTAGCCATTGTGAAAAACATTAGATCACTTTTGTAAGTGAAACGTAGGTGTAATAGAAGGACAAACATACGTGTGGCCTGCGGTCATGGATAATGTATGCTTGGGTTGCTGTCAAAGTTTAGGCAGTACCATTTATTTTATTATTATTATTATTATTTTTTGTTCTAATCTTTTTTGAGCAACATCTGGTTTTACTCCTGAATTACAAGTACCTACAGCTTTGTGGGATTTTATAAGTAGAGGTGTTTACAGGAGAGGGAAATACTGAAAATGGACGTGTTCCCTGCAAAAGGATTGTGTGTTTATGTCAGTAGGTGTGGGCACGTAGTATAGATTATATAGCCACACTGTAATGCATTAAACTTCTAAAATGTATATTGTGCCTTTTTTTCCTAAAATTTTATCCCATTTTACCCAGGTTATGCTGTTTTATTAATATAATATCATGAATTGAACTTAAAATATGATATTCTAGGGGCTTGGAATGAGGTTACTTCTAGTTAATGTTGGTAATACATGAAAACAGTTTCTTTCACTGTTAAGGTCACCTTATAGTAGTACAACAGAGGCACAAAGTTTGAGTGACCTCTCTTCTATCATGAAAGGAATTAATGTTGATATGACCAATGGTATCATTGTCATTGTTCCTAAGTCCAGGGGGTTTTAAGGCAGAGTTAAGTGAAAGGATTCAATTGATCAGATTGTGAAAGTCCATCATCTCATGTAAAATATAATGCTGATAATAACAGATAATTCCATCTGAATGTAAGGGGGTGGGCAATGAATTACTTACAGCACGTAAAAAAAATTGTTTTTTTACTTCAGTAATATAAAAAGAAAAAAATTTCTAATTAATCTCCAAAAGTATTCAAGTGCTGTTGGGTTGATTCTAATCATTAGTAATCTGGTATTTAACCTACTATACCACTAGGGCTAGGCCAAATGAACAGTAAGAGAACCTGGGGTCAAAAAGCATTATGTTCTGCATGAATCACAAATGAGTATGTCTGATTTTATTACATTCAACTTGTATATCATAGAAATAATCACTCGGTCTTATAGTTATGCAGAAAGGTCTTTGTCCTCAACAAAATACTAAGCTTCTTAGGGGTACCATCTTGCTCTCTGTGAATGTGCCTGTAGCAAGACACGTGCTAACGTGCTAAATACATATGTTTTGAAAGTACAAATGAATTGCACAGAGAAGTATTTTTCTATTATGGTGTCACAGGTGCTAAGAGATTTAAGGTTTTGTGCAAAGTGAAAAGACTGGAAAAGGTTGTAGTGTACCACTGAGTCGGAACTGGCCCACAGCTGACCCTCCAGCAGGTTTTCGGAGGCAATTAATCACACAGGAGGAGATTGCCCACACTTCTCCCGTGGAAAAGGTAAAGCATAGTTATTAATTTTTCAAGTCATTTCAAAGGTTATAGAACAAGAAGTAAAAACAAACCAGTGGAGAAACATCTTACTGACCAATGTAGCGCTTGGTTTCATCTTCCTCTCCCCTCCGTTTTAAGTCGGTGGTCTTCTTCACTACTGTGCTTATCTCAGGCTGATCCTTTCCTTTCCCGCCTCCTCCTGTAACACTTCCTCCTCCTTTGGCAGCCTTGGCATTTGGGGTCTTCTTCTCTTTGGGAGATTTTCCTTTCCCCTTTTCTTTCTCTAACTTAAATCTGTCTTCTACCGTCTGGAAAGAGAACATTTGTTGGTGTGTTGGGTTTTTTGTTTTTGTTTTCTCCTCAAAATACAGTAAACAAGCAATGACTTTTTGGCAGATAAATTTAATTGAACAGTATTTATATATTTCATTCACTTGTTCACTCATTTGTTTTTTATTAATTCATCCCCCAGGTCAGCAATAGAGATCTCAATTTGAGCCTAAATTGCAATGCAAGCACATTTACAGATGAATACTGGAGGGGTGGTGCCAGGAAGCTGTTTACATAAGGAGCCTTCTGGAAAGAGGCACCATCTCAAGGGAGAGTAAAGTATATTCTAATAAACCAGGTCCGTTGTTTAGTGAGGAGGGGAGGGGAAGAAAGGATGGTTCTAAGTACATCATGGTACCAAGATTTCAGATTTCTCTTTTGGCTAAGCCTGGGGAACACTTTGAGTCTTAGAGATGGATTGAGTTGTTCATTAAAAATGAAATTAAGATAAAAGAAAAAAAGGAAAACAGAAATAACAATGTATTTTTAAAATCTCCATGATACATATATTTTTTATGTATAAGTAGCACATCAATTACTTTTAGAGGTCAAAAATCATTTTGGAAACTGTGCATTCAATGATGAGGTGGGAACAAAATGTCAGTTGGCAACATGAATTCTCTACCCAGTGCTCTGGAGCATGCTTAGATTGCTATCTGCAATGTAGATACCGACTGGCCCGACCATATCTTTCTTTTCAAACAATGCCAAAATCTTTGTGTTCTATTTAATTATGTAACTAGGTATTTATAGATACAGTTTGTATTGAAATGTGTCAGTACTTGATGAGACATGTTCTTCCAGTAACCATTCAGAAGGTCCAGAATATGTTTTTGTGGGGTTTTCCTTCCCTGTATTCAATAAAATTAAAAACAAAACCAAATTTTCAAAGTTAGTGTAGTAACACCTTGGATTCTGATATATATTTATTTTTCCTTAGTTCATGGAATTTAAGTCTGAAAAACCCTGGTCTGAGACATGCTGGGGGTAGGTAGGTGATTTTTTGAGGAAAGAAACATATTTCCCCATTCTATGTGGCATCTAGATGTTGAAGTTTCTGGAGATTCCAATTCTGCTTTAGCACCTAGAGTTAGTGCCAGTGGTGTCTATCACTCTCCATCTCCACCTAGCTTTGTTGCTCTAATGGTGGTGAATCTGCGCTGTTCCCAACAATTGTTCCTTGGCAGGACAGGGAAATGAGCAAAAGATGGAAGGATTAGTGAGATCAAAACTTAAACTCATTTCCTTGAGTGGGACCCAATATAGATATGACTCTTTATAGGATTTCTGAGGCTGTAAATCACATGGGAGGGGATTGCTCACATTTCTCCCTTGGAACTGCTGATGGATTGAAATGCCAGAAAGGCCTGGCCTTTGGTTAGCAGAGCAACTTTCTATAGACTAAGCTACCATTGTGGATAATGACTGATTGGTTAGGCCTAGAATTTTAACTTGACTGAAATATCTTTCCTGCCAATATCTCATTCATAGGAAGATTATCTTCTGTTTTCTTTCCTTCCTTCTCTATTCTCTCAAATTTTTAATCATGGATGTAGTTATGAAATCCAGGAGAAAAAGAGACAGCCAGGCTATCTGAGGACTCAGTAGAGTTGACTATCTGCTAAGTCGTCAACTAACCTTTGTTTACAAACTCTTTAGTCACTCTTGCTTCAGAATAACATAGCATACATATTACCATATTATGGTCATCTGCTCAAAATCTTAAAAAAAATCAGAGGAAATTCCTGCAAATTGAAGGCAAGAATTTGGGAGGGATACATCCAAAAGGCCCCACTCCCTATCATGTTTGGGGAACACATGCTATTCATCATTTGAAATGGCATTGAAGTTAGTTACCAAGGATCTCCTACTGCAAGAAGCTTTAGATAGGCATTGAACTTCCCCTCGTCCCATTTTCTTTTTGAACATTATATTGTGAATTGAACAAAATTTTACATTGCAGTTAGTTGTCCATTGAATATTTTATATATATTATATGTTTTGTGACACTAATTGTGATCCTCTCGATTTAACAGCACACATCTCACTCCCTCCCTTGGTTCCTCATTTGCCTGTCTTTCCTGCCTCTTATTGCTTTCTAATTGCTTATGGGCAAATTCTGCCTTTTTGGTCTCTTCTGGTTTCACTGAGAACCTCATTCCTCTTGGGTGTGACTATTTACTTTATAGATCTGCCTATTGTTTGGCTGAAAGATGATCCCTGGGGATGGTGTTTCTCAATTAGTTAAGTTACATAGCAGATGTCGGATTCTGGTTCTACCAACACCTAAAAAAAAGTCCTAGCATTTCACATACTCAGCTGAATGTCAAGTTGACAGCTACCTATAATCATTAATCTCAACTTATTCTCATCTTAATTGTTGTTGTTATATGCCATTGAGTCACCAGTGACATATAGTGACCTTATATACAACAGCCCTAAACTCTGCTCTATCCTGTGCCAATCTTACAGTCTCTGACACACCTACCTCCATTACCCTAGGCACTGAATCAATCTGCCTCATAGAGGGTCTTCTTCTCCTGCTCTGTCCACCCACCCTCCCAAGCATGATGTTCTTCTCCAAGGACTGGCCCCTCCTTGCAACATGTCCAAAGTATGTCAGACGAAGCTTCAGAATCCTTTCTTCCATGGAGCAGCCAGATTTAATCGTATCCAGGATGAACCTATTTGTTTACTTAGCAGTCCATGGTATATTCAATACTCTTCTCCAGCACCACAGCTCAAAGGCATCAATTCTTCTTCTATCCTTCTCAGTCACTGTCCAACTCTCTGATACATAGCAATTGATTGCAAAGGACCACAGCCTGTATCAGGTGCACATTAGTCTCCAGAGTGACACCATTTCTCTCCAGTACTTTGGAGAGGTCCCTAACAGAAGACATTCCCATTGTAATACATCTTTTAATTTTCTGGCTGCTAGTGCTAAGAATGTTGACTGTGGAGCCAAGCAAACTAAAGCTATCAACAATCTCAATCTCTTCACCATCCATCCTGATGTTGCCAATTGGTCCAGTGGTGAAAATCTTTGTCTTCTTGATTTCAGCCTCAATCCATATCGAAGGCTGGTCCTTTACCCTCTGCAGCAAGCACTTCCCTCTCTATAAGTGCAATCTAATTATTTCATACTTCTAACTGTTTTATATCCAATTTTATTTCTGATGATTTTCTGATGTCAAAGTATTCCTAAAATTTTTATTCTACCTCAGATGATCTGTTCTTCCGCTCCCAGACAGTCAAAGCTCAGTAAATCTACTAGACAGACATTTATGACGTAAAGTTGGAATGGAAAATAGTAGGCTAAACATGAAACAGGTTGCTTTTCACAGATCTCTTCAGTCTTTGGTAAGTTAATTGGTGGTATGAATCTCCAAGAAAAGAGTATAATTGGTTTTTCATGGAGACCTGTTCTAATATTCACAGAATGCACTCTGAGAAACACACAGCCCCTAGCCTCTAAGTTTCTAGAGCTCCCTATGTATATACAGTTAGTATATGTATAAATGTTGTTGTTAATATTCATAAACATAGGTATATATATATTCATGCATATGTACGGACTATATCTGTGGAAAGAACAATTGAGGAAGTTCAATATCAACAGTCAAAATCAGGCCAGGTGCTGACTGTGGACTATACCATTAGTTCCTCCTGTGCAAGTTCAAAATGAAGCTGAAGAAAATTAAAACAAGTCCACAAGAACAAAAATATGACCTTACATATATCCATATCCTACCTGAATTTTTAAAAAAACCACCTCAAGAATTGGTTTGAGACATTGAGCACTCAAGTTTAAAAACCAGATGATTTGGGAGATGACTTCAAACATATCATTCATGAAGAAAGCAAAGGCAAAGGAGAAAGAAAATATCAAAATAAATGTCAGAAGGGACTCTGGGACTTACACTAGAGTGTCAAGAAGTGAAACCAAAAGGATGAAATGCTAAAGTAAGAGAATTGACCAGAAGAGTTCAAAGAATATCTCAAGAAGTAAATCTATTAGAATGGAATGTGCAAAGAGCTGGAGTTAGAAAATTAAAAGGAAAGAACTCATTAGGCATTTCTCAATCTGAAAGAACTGAACAACAGATTAAGCGTTGAGTTGCAAGAATATTAAAGGATGCTATCTAGAAAATCTTGAATGATCTAGGAAGTATCAAAAGAAGATGGGGGAAATACAGAATCACTGCACTAAGAAGAATTGACTGACATGGAACCAGTCCAGGCAGTAGCATATGATCAAGAACCAGTGGTAATGAGTGGATGAGATACCAATTGATATATTTCTACAAATAGATGCAACCCTGGATGTTATCTGACAAAGCAGGGAACACTACATGGTTTCAAAGGGAGAAAGATGTGGATTATATCTATTCAATCTGTGAGCACAGATGACCTTAATGAAGAAGAATGTGAAATCAGGCTCAGAGGAAGGCTTGTCAACAACCTGTGTTATACAGATGACACAAACTCGCTTGTTGAAAATGAAAAGAACTTGAAATGCTTGCTGTAGAAAATCAGAAATACAGCTTTTAATATGGATTACATATCAAAATTAAGAAAACAAAAATTATCACCACTGATTCAATAGGTCAATAACATCATGATAGATGGTGAAAAGATTGAAGTTATCAATGATTTAGTCTTACATGGATCAACAATCAAGACGTTCGGTACCAGCAGTCAAGAAATAACAACACTTATTGCATTGGAAAAATGTGTTGTTAAGGACCTCTCCAAAGTGCTGAGGAACAATGATATCAGTTTCAAGACTAGGTGCACCTGATTCAAGCAATGGTCTTTTCAACAACTTGTTGCATATCTTGAAGTTAGACAATGAATACTGATGACAGAAGAACCAATGCCTTTGAGCTGTGCTGTTGGAGAAGAATACTGAAAATTCCATAGACTGCTAAGAGAATAAACAAACATATCTTGGAGAGAGTGCAATGATAATGCT